AATGCGGAGGTGAAATTTCCCCGTTGTGGGACTAATAAGGGTCATGTAACTTTATTTTTTAGAGGGTTGGTGGTAGCTTTGGAGTGAAGAACTTGGGAGCTTTGAAGATTGTCACTATCATCAAAATCTAGTTACATTTCATTTATTTCATTTGAAAAACTGAAATTTAAAAATGGCAGTTTTCCATTTACACTGCATGGACGTTCAGTAACGAACTGACCATCAAGAACGAATCAATATTTACTTGGAATAAAGTCACATTATCATACATTAAAGTTAAGAATGTTTCTGCTTGTCCTCTAAAGTTACAGTTTCAGAGATATGAAGTTTTGTTACGGTAGCAACGTGATGGTTCAAAGGTCTTTCCAGAGAAAGGAGAAGAGGAACAGACTTGTCAGCCAACTGTTGTTCTATTAGTTTATACTTATTTATATTCAGCATCTTTTATATTTGCATAAAGGTCTTGAAATATTTTGACATTATCCTCTATTCTGTGGCACTGTCGTCATGGTAGGTTAATGGAAGAGCAGGAGACAAATAAAGGTGTCATAGATGTTTTTGCTGTATCTCTCTGTGCACACAGTCCTGCCTAATACTGCACTCTACTGGGAGGGTAATTTGCATACATTATAATAGATTTCAACCCACCAGTTCTTAACAACTCCACGCTGGCACTGTCAGAATGAATCATCTTCATGCAGTCCGGAGACGCTAATGCATGCAGTTTGTGAGTTTGTCCAATAACTAATGGGAAGGAGTGTCTCTGTATTAACAAGCTTCTTTCTGTTTCATTGACATTTCCATACGTCTTTAAACGTCTGGAACCAAATTGACTGCAATGCATTATACATAAGAATGTAATTTGAGAGAACTGAGGGAGGAAAAGTCGCTGGAAATTGTATTTGTTTTGGGTTGGACAGGGAGGCTGTGCAATCATCATCCTGCACTATTCACAAGTCCAATCTGCACTGTGAATGGAGGCACCTGATATGATGCTCAGTGGTGTTTCATTCGGATAAACAGCAAATTCCAACAGCAGATCGTCAAACAATTAGAGGTTCAAATAAACCAACACTCTTCTTTGTGATGCCATAGAAGAACCACTTTTGGTTCCCTGAAGAACCTTTCAGTGGTTCTTTGAAATGGTTCTTCAAGGACTCTTTAGCATAGGCAATGGTTATATAAAGAACTGTGGACACTCAAAGAACCATTTGAATGCATTGTAAAATGGTTCTTCTCTTTGAACGGAAACATGTTATATACGGTTATTTAAAGGTTTTATTTTCGAAAAATGGTTCTATATAGCACCAAATAGGTTTGAGAACTATATAGAACCTTTTTGTTAAGGGTGTACATGTCCAAAGTTTGTACAACCTTAGCATAAAGGGTTCTGTACAGTACCAAAAAAGGCTCACTTGAAAGAATAGCAGAACCCTTTATCTGCTATATAGCACCATTTTATAAAGGTCCCTTAAAGAAGCAGGTTTTCCATCATAGGGAAGATCCCTTTAACCAGGCAAAGAACCATTTCAGCATTGAAATGGTTCTTTGAGTGTTCTTGGTTTTGCATGCACTCGTAAGTTTGCGCCCCTTGTCGCTTGACATTTTGTTGATTTTAAGTTAACACCTCACTCTACAGTGAATGCGCTTCTGCACATTTTAATGCACAATTACTGTTTAACATACTGGAGAAAAAAATAAGTTCAAAATTGGCCTGTGCAAAAGTTATGGCACCTTTTATATTTTATACAATTTGATTTTTTTTTTCCAATATGTTAAACTCAGCAAGTAAATAGAATTTAAGCATTAAAATTTGCAGAAAATGTCTTATTTAAGTGTTTTCTCTGTGTTAACTTATTATCACTTAAAAAACCAACAAAACGTAATTCAACTGGGGTGCTCAAACTTTTATATACGGCAGTATAACCACTGCCTTATACATAATGGTATATTCCCAAAGCTGAACCATAAAAAGGGGCTCTATGACTTGTAACAACAGCAGAACACTTTTGGTGCTATTGTGGAGCTTCTTTAAAGAACCACATACAACAGGTTCTTTAACCATTTAACCATGCAAAGAACCAGATCCATTTGGAAACTAAAGAACCCCTGAGGAACCCTTTAGTTTAAGGGTATATAAAGAATCTTGTTTAATTAAAAAAAACTCCATATTATTCAAAGGTTCTATACTTTCTATTATGGCTTTTCTTAAAACCATACATCCAAGCCAAGAACCTCTTAGCAGTCTTCATTTTTAAACGTGAGGTTGTGGGCAATCTGTTCTAGAATTTCTCCTGTTTTATGTATTTCTTCTGTTTATGTATGAAAAAGGGTTCTAACTCTAGTGACCTCACCAAAGGGAATCAGTACAAAACAGGAAAAGAGACGGCAGCGATTCTGCTGAGGTCGAACCGAAGTGCCATCTCTCAATGGTTTACTTTGTTCTCTGTGATGTGCTACACGACACAGCTGTTGGAATAATGGGGCCAGGATTAAGATTTCATCCCTCAGCCTGACATGTTCCCTCAGACAGCTCCCTCCTTAACTCGCAGAGCTGTCTTCAACCCACAGCTGTGCTTTCAGATAATGTTTTGCTTTACGTGACTTCTTTGATATGGAAAAATGAGGGTGGGCTTGTCTTTCCTTTTCTCTCCTGCAGCCTCTCTGGCTGTATGACAATGCGTCTTCTAGATTCATTCACAAAAAATAAATAAATAAATAATAATAATACACGCACACACTTGCATGTATCCACCTCAAGTGCGCCTGCCATAGAAACACTCAAGGATTAGAAATGGAGCCTACTTTATAGTGTAAGCCAGCTGAACGCATTACTTGATATTAAAGGCGAATTCTACCTTTTTTATTTCTGCATAATTCAAGATGAAAATAGTCATTCAGAATGTTCTGGTGAAATGATCAATTCTAGAAAAGTTTAACAACCCTGATGTCTTTACAGTGGTGGTGATGGTCTGCGACACAAATATAGCCATTTTATTGACTATCTAAGTGAACCTACACGTGCCCTCTGAGTTCTATATGTAATGTTGATGATCATAAAATAGTGGTAAATCTGAAAAATCAAGTTTCCTTTGTGGACCTGCCATATTTTAGGCCAAATAAACATATTTTAGGCCAAAATATGATCACAAAACTATCATAACCCAATGTCTCATGCATCAGGAAGTGTATGTTTATCCACTTTGTGTAATAACTTTCTGGAAGGTAGCTTTAAGAGGCATTAAAGAGGAATTAGACGTCTGGTTCCTATCAGAATGAACAGAATGAAAGTTTCTCTAAAATGAAGTATCTCCCACCAAACCACTTTGTAGGTCTTTGTTTACATCTTAATGATTTTATTATACAGAAATGTTGAAAAATCTATGGTACAGCTACATACTGCCATTGCAATGTGGCTTGCAGTATATTGAAAACACAATAGTGAATCGGTCAATTATGATAATGATGACAATAATATGTGCAACATTATTATTATTATTATTATTATTATTATTATTAATAATAATAATAATAATAATGACAATAGTGATATGGTTTGATCACAAAAATACCTTGATTCATTAACACTCACAGAAACATTTATCTGGAATCATGATTGGTTAGGATATTCATATCACACAGTAATGAAACACTGTGACTGGTTAGTGTGCTCATTTGCATAATACAGCCTTTCACATTATCGGTACTGCAAAAGCCATTATCACAATTACAATTAACAAATGTATTTTGTGAAATATATTTGTAAATGTAAAATATATTTTGCTGCCCTACTTCATATTAAAGGGCCAAAATAATCAAAAACCAACATGCCCTCACTTAATTACCATAAGTTTCATGTAGTATGCAAACACCATGAAAGTATCACTTCCATGTCCGTGCAGTCCATATATGAACACTAACTTCCAGCTTGGTTAATTGTTTTTGTGATGTCATGATACGAACCAATTTACATATACGTACATACATTTACATACAGTTTAACACATTTACATTACATTCAGGTTGAAGTTATAAGGAGTGTTTCAGCCTGAACTGCCTCTTCAATGAGGCACAACACAGGGCAGCCAATCAGAACGGAGATCATTTACATATATCCATCTATATATCATATCCTACATTTGATGTATTTTTTCTCCTGAAGCCCACTTATAACATGTGTTTGGTTTCAGTCCTAATTCATTTTTACATGACCATTTTACAACTTCTCTTCATCTCATAGAATTAAACAGGTTGTTTTTGTTATGTAGGGTTGATATATGTAAATGAGCTCTGTCCTGATTGGCTGCGCTATACTGTGCCTCATTCAAAAAGCAGTCTGGACTGAAACACTCCATATAATTTTAATCTAAATTTAATGTAAATGTATGTAACTCTATGTAAATTTGTTGGTGTCATGACTTCAGTGTGAGTGGGTGGGGCTAAACTGCTGTAGGTTGAACAGGTGGACACAAGTAAATGTGTTTCTTTTCATGACATCACAGACACAGTGAATTCAAAATGGGCTGTGTTTTGCAGCTTAGTTTCCACAGACGAGCTGCGGATATAAGGGCCCTTTAAAGGTTTTTGTGATGTCATGAAAACCTACAAATGAGACACAGTACAGGGCAACCAATCAGACCCGAGGTCATTTACACGTATCAGTCATAAAGGCACAGTAAAAGCAGCCGGTCTAATTTTAAGGATTTAAAAATGATCGTGTAAAAATGAATTATGACTGTTTGTGATGCTTAAATCCACACAAACATCCTAATTAAGCACCAAAGAAAAAATGAAGTACAAGAAATATGTAGTGTCTTTGATGCAATGTCGTTACCCACTTCTGAGACCAGTACATTTTGGTTTGACATCAGTGTGGTTAGGCTGTGAGAACTGAGATAAAAATAAGGACTGGGTGAGGACCTCAGGCTATATACAACACAAGACATAACAACTATGCTTTCCTTTAGTAATCGTGACAAAGAAGAAAAGGTCACACTTACCTCGGTCCACTGGCCTTGGGCTTGGACCATGAGCATGACGCAAGGGTCTGACTTGTTGAGTGTGTCTCGGTCCAGCAGGGACTTGCAGGACACACGCAGCTCCACTTTGGTCACACAGGCAGCGGGGCCGCCAATGCCGGCCACAGGAGAGGACGCTTCCTGTGACTCACTCATCCTGGCTCGGTATGGAGGGAGGAAGACCAACCAGATGGAGCTGACAGGGCCAAATAGGTCTTTCGATTTATAAAGGAACAGCTATCAAGCCAATTCAAAGACCTTCACTGGGTAAACAAGCAGGAGATGTGGTCATCTCTGTCTCAGGTTTGCTATGGTTGAACTGAACTGACTCAAAACTACCACATGGGGCCTTTTGGATGTCAGGGGAACATTGGGATGATATAAAGGAGGAGAAAGTCCTAGATATGCTCTCTAGCAAATGCTGTCTTCCACACTGGAACCCTAAAGAGGAGAGAAAATGTGATGATCATGCTATTTTAACACTCCGCTCCAACAGACCAATTTGCTTTGCCATTCTATTTTTATTGCATCGCTGAAGTAAGAATCAGTTTTTTTTAATGAGCAAAACATTAAAAGCAGCAGTCACACTATCATGCAGTTTCAGGCAGGATTCCAAATATAGAGCCACATACATTACATATATTGCTTAGAATATGAATTATGCAAAATACTTTTTTTCTTTGGATATGCATGTAAAATGACAGACGATCATGTAAATGTACAATACTGTGTGAAAGTCAGAGACCACCCTTTCCTCTCAAAACCACCATTTTATGCAAGTTATTCATTTTTCAGTGCCAGAAAAAAAGACGAAAACATGTTTTGAACTGAAAATTATTCAAAACCCTCCAACACTAAGCATATTATCAAATTTATCAGGACTTAATTTGTTCATTCTTTACGTTTGTGCACCCAACTGCCAACATCAACTCTTCCATCCTTCCAATCTTAAAACCAATGAGTTACAGCTGTGTCCTCACAACAACAGCTGTTCCCAAACACTGACATTATGTAACCCTTCATAGCTTCGACATTAACATTCACACAAGCAACTAACAACACAGACCTAAAAATTTCGTCCTCAAGTGCTTTTAAAATGGCTAAATGAGATATTTCTAAAGAGACTACATATAAGATAATCCACATGCATAAGGAAGAGGGAATTCAAAGAAAAATAAGAGGGAAAAACAAGAGTTTGCAGAACAAATGTTCAACCTCTCTGCACCCCTGCCCCACCCCCAAATCCCCTCTCACAAATTCAAACTACCATCCTGCTGAAACTCGGACTGATGAGTCTAAATTTGAGATCTGTAGAAGTAACAGAAGGCACTACTGTACACTTTTGCCATTATATATGTATAACAACATCTGGAGCTAGTGATTTGTTTTTGATTGGAGGTATCATGAATGCACAAACAACACATCATGAAATACACCCTAGAAAATGTTTAATCAGGAAGGAATAAATTCAGTGACTTTATTTTCAGGGTCCTTTTTAGATGAAACAAACACTCAACAGACTCTCGGTAACATGTCAGAAACATATGAGGGTGAGGGTTAGGATTGGAGTTGAGGTTAAGGTTAGGGTTAGGATTAGGGCCAGGGTGAGGGTTAGGATTAGGTTTTGCTTTGAGGTTAAGTTTAGGGTTAGGATTAGGACTAAAGTGAGGGTTAGGATTAGGTTTTGCTTTGAGGTTAAGTTTAGGGTTAGGATTAGGATCAGGGTGAGGGTTAGAATTAGGTTTTGGGTTGAAGTTAAGGTTAGGATTAGGATTAGGATCAAGGTGAGGGTTAGGATTAGGTTTTGGGTTGAGGTTAAGGTTAGGTTTAGGATTAGGGCCAGGTTTACGGTTAGTTTTTGGCTAAGGTTGGTAAGGTTAGGTTTTGCGTAATGGAAGTAACATATCAACAAAACATGTTCAACAGAACATCTACAAGATATTTACTTCAGTGTATTCAGATGCTTCACTACTGCTACTTCACTGATATGTTGTTGATGTGTTACTGATAATCTGTGAAGAGTTTATTAATCATCTACAAAGAACCACTCCAAATAAAGTGCTACCATAAATTCTACACCAAGATAACAACCCTCGGCACACTGCTAAGAGAATTAAGACTTACTTATCAAACAAAGAAGCAGCTTATATCTTCAGACCCAGAGCTCAGACCTCAACCTCATTGAATGTGTTTACTTGTGAGAATCAGAAAATGGAACCAATTTAGACTAACCCCAACTAAGACAAAACTTTGTGAAAACATCCACTGTAGATTTCTTTGAAAAACTGAAAGCGAGTTTCCTAAAGAGAATGGAAGCTGTAATAAAGCCAAAGAGTGAACACATGAACAAGTGTTGAAAAATCATATATTTAGTTGTTGAATTTTGTGTTTTCATGCTAAACAAGCGAATCTTGTTCTTATTGGTTGTTGACTGAAAACTAAACAAATTAACAAAAGGGTGGTCTCTGACTTTTGCGCAGTAGCCTATTGTATAAAATAAAAACCACAAGCCGTAATCAGACACTGCCATATCAACCACATTCACCCCAAACGTCCTTCCTAGTGAACCAGAAATGAACTGTAAATGGATTAATCTATATCTCCACACATGTATGACACCACAGAGGTGGTCTGGCCAGGTGAGATCATCTCATCCACTGACTTTAATGTCAACTGGGCGGTTCCGTCTTGCTTGAGCAACAGACGCCAAAATTGCTCTTTTCACCTGGCAGCGCTGACAGACATACATCATTCTTTTTGTACATAACGCCCTGAACGAGTAGAGCCTTTTACATCAGCCTCCTCCTAAATACTGAGAACAGACCAACAACGGCAAAAAAAACAGCAAACAAAGCAAAGAGACAGAAGCGCGCTGACAACATAGCGCGTTTCAGCACCACGGCTCGCGGACAGCTCCCCGGAGTTCAATGGAGGGAGAAAAGAGTTTTAAACGCGGTTGGCTTTGATCTACGTCACAACAGGAGCTCTAATTCAAATAATCAGCTCACGTGTGAAAGGCAAACAGGAAAGCTGTTCAGTTCAGCGCGCGCCAAAGCAGAAATCCAGTCTGCACTTTTAAAGTTTGCGCTTCCACTTACCTGAACGTTTCCCACCCCTGGGATGAAATCAGGCGCCAGTCTCTAAGTTTTCCACTCGGTCTTCTGCGAAGCACTGACGCTAAATGGTGTCTGCGCACGCACAGCGCTGCCCTGGTCTAACGCACATGACAGCTTTGTCTCATTCAACAGCGCAACCACCAGCTCACCATTCACCAAACATACCGCACACAGGAATGACTAAACCCAGCCTATACGACACACAGTGAACGCCTCCGTTTGAGCTCTAACCCTCCTGACAAGCCTCCTTACTGTACCACAGTAGGACTCCTGCAACACAACGCACAACTGTGCAAACGCGCATATCATTCTGTAATATTTTGTACATAATTTCTTGCTGGTCAACGTGCTTGTCTGGTCTGGTCAGTATGTTCCATGTCACACATGTGTGCACTAACCAAGCCAATCCCTTGTATATGTAATACTTGGCGACTCTAATTCTGAACAAGTTCAAAGTTAACACTTAAATGCTACACTTGCGCATGTTGCACCACGGTGTGCGGAGAAACAACACCAATCATTAATGTTCCATATAAATAAACGCTGCATCCTTTTGCTTTTGGCTTCCTCGACACAAATATGCCAGGAAAAGAAAGAGACTTGCAGCTCCGTCACTCTCAGTCACTAATAAGGCTGCCTCCATTCTCACTCACTGAAAAACACAGCTGAACTGAAGAGTCTATAAATGTGTCTGAAGCCAAGATCCAGCGCCTCTTACCTCCTCGCGCACTTGTTTTTCAACTGTTTCGTCCACGGCTGCTAATTTTTCCGAAAGTGATGTGCAGTTGAGAGCAGGGGAGGGGTGGAAAAAAGAGGAGAGAGAGAGAGAGAGAGAGAGAGAGAGAGAGAGAGAAAGGCGTTGTTATTTCTTTTTCCCACTCATATTCCGACCCTATGCTCCGATTGGATAATGAAGTCCCGCCTTTTGTGCAACGATTGGATAGTAGTTCATACTCTGAAGAAGTCCACCAATCCTACCGCAGGTGGGCGGGGTTTTCGCGAATACAGGTGGGGAAAAAACGAAGGCGAGTGAAGTATGTTCGCAGAGCTGCTGCGGGTGATGATGATGAGAAGAAAGAGGAAGAAGCGGTGGATAATGCGCTGTCATTTTCTGCAGGAGGGCCATAAAAATACGACTGACCTTAGAGTGACCAAAGGAGGACGTCAGTTATCTCCAGAGTCGATAACATGCATGGCCAAACAAGAACAGACAGTTCGATTCAATTGCAAGATCTGCTGTAGATATCTTGTGAGTGCACAGCTGGTGGGTCTGTCGGTTTGGCACTGTTTAACCTGTCTGTCCATCACATCTGTAAATAATAATAAAAAAAAAATCTATTTTTTTTTTTTGCATCATTTGAGCCCAGCAGCTGCGCTTCACACTGTGTGAAAATTTCATGATGAATGGACAACAGAAATGCTCCAACATTGCTTGAAATAGAGCCTCTTTACCTTATAACTTACATACTTATAACAGATTGGTTCTTCAAGGGTTCTTTAACGGTTTTATTTAGAACCACAAGTTCTGTATAGAACCATTATATGCTTAAATGGTTCTTTGCATGGCAAAATTGTTCTTCAGATTGATGGAGAATGTGTTGTATATGATTCTGTATAGAACCTTTTTTAAAAATGGTTAGCAGCAAAGAAATCTGTGCTTTATCACATGGAGACCTGCTTCAATTAAGGAATGTCTTTAAGCCAAGGTTCCTAAACCTTCAGCAGTTCTTAGGGATGGAGGTATTGTTCTAAGAAAAAACCTTTAGCAGGTAAATAACCTTTAGGTTCTTTTGACACATTAAAAAGGTTCTAAACACTCACATATCTCCTTCAAAACAGTGGTACGTAATGGACCAATCAATAAAAGGTTCTTTTAGGGAACCATTTATGGTTTATTTCTTAGAGCGTGGTCATTTTTTTGGACGAGACAGTGTTGCAGCGGAAAAAGAGAGGCTCTAGAGGTTCTATATAGCACAAAAAATAGTTCCTCTACTGTGACTAGCTTAGCGCCGTAACAATAGCAAAACCCCTTTTGGTGCTATATAGAATCCCTTGATTAATATAAATATATTTGT